AGAGAGAGAGAGAAAGGGGGAAAGAGAGAGAGAGAGAGAGTGAACCGTTCAACGACCGATGCAAAATGAATGGGTGCTGGGGGGGGCTGCGCACACATATATATATATATATATAGATATAACCCCAAAAATAAAACTAACAAATCATTCCGGGGGGTCATCCTCAACCATGTAAATGTCGCAACGTTTGTCCCCCCAGGCCTGATTGGTAAGGGCATCTCAAGCGGGAGTCTCGTCTGTCAGTGGGTCGCGAGGAAATCTTGAGCAGGAGCGTTTCCCTATGGGGTCACCACCTCCATGTTGTAATCCGATGTGGGTCACCTGAAACTTGTAAGCGTCGTCACTTTTGGGCTCCGCAGGCTTGAGTCTGGAAAACGTACGGAGCGGGGGCGTCGTGTGTGATTTAATCGAGAGGAGGTCTCGAGCGAAAACCCATCCCTATGGGTTCCGCATCTCCATGTTCGAATCCGCGCGGGTCATCTGAAAACCTGTAACTGTCGTCACTGTTGGGTTCCTCAGGCTTGACTCTAGAGGAAGTCTCGAGCGGGGGGGATTCGTCTGTGAGTGAATCGCGAGGAAGTCTCGCGCAGGAACCCTTCCTCATGGGGTCCTCACCTTTACGATCGAATCTGAACGCGTCACCCGAATCCTGTAACCGTTTACACCTGGGCTTTTTAGGCCCTTGGTGCTCTAATGTTTTGTGTTGTGTGTGGCTGGGATTGCCTTGCGTTCTCTTTTTCTTGTCTTGCGTTCTCGAATATTTATCTCTTGCTTATTTTTGCTTTTGACTTTTCATATTTTGTTTTGGTGTGTACTATTTCTTCTTGATTTGGTGTGTTACTGCGTACGTTTCCCCCCCGTTGCTCTTGTTGTTCACTGTTTTGGCGTTTTTGTCTTTCGTTCGTTGTCTTTGGTTTTCTGACATTCATTTTTTGCGTCTGGAACTAATCTGAGGGGGGTCATTACGACCGCAAAGTGATTCGAAAGGAAGTCCGAACAGGAGTCCCTGCCTACGGGGTCCCCGCCTTCCCATGTTCGACAAGAGGGTTGCGAGCTCCAGGGCAGGGGCGGAGCTCGCGGCAGAGCTAGGCTTCGGCTGCCCGCCCCGCTTGAGCGCGGCGGCGCCCAGATCGAGGCTCGCGGGGTGGTCCCGACGGCTTGCTCCCGCGCCCCAGCGGTCCACGGGGCTGTCCCAGCGCCCTGGCCCGCGGGGTTGCCCCCACGGCTTCGCGGTCCGACCATCGGAGAACGCCGTCCGTGGCCGTCCGTGGCGGGATGGAGAGGGAGGAGGTGGAGGTGGAAGAGAAGGGGAAGAGGAGGAGGAGGGAGGGGGAGAAGGCAGGAGGAGGAGGGAGGGGGAGAAGGCGAGGAGGAGGAGGAGGAGGAGAGGAGGAGGAGGAGAGGAGGAGTGAGGGAGGAGGAGGAGGAGGAGGAGGAGGAGCAGGAGAATGAGGCAGGACGAGAGGCGGAGGAGGAGGAGGAGGAGGAGGGAGGAGGAGGAGAGGAGGAGCAGGCAGGAGGGGGTGGAAGGAGGGAGCAGGTGGATATCCCCAGCCAGGCCGAAGAGATGATCGTGTGGGGTCCCGCCGCGGGCGCGCCAAGCTCCAGCGGGCCTTCTTGGCCCGCCTCGCCACGCGGGCGCGCGCGGAGCTCCGCGAGGCGCCGCGCACGGGCTGGGAGCGACCTGGCGTCTTGGCGACTGGCGGCCCTCCGCCGCCCCGACGCCAACCACGGGTGGCTTTCGGCTTTGAGCCACGGGGGCCCCGTCCTGGACCACCAGGACACCTTCGGAAGAGTACGACCGCGCATCGGCGCTGCTGGACAACAGGCGACGATGGGTCACCGCGTGCCAGTTCGGCAGGAGTGCGGGGCCGCCAAGGCCTGCGACCCCGCCGCCGGGTTGGAGGCGCCGAACCTCATCGTGGTCACTCGTCAGTTTTTTTTTTTTTTTTTTTTTTTGTTTTTCTCCCTCCCCAAGACGCGAAACGTCTGGGTCTTCGTGTGTTTGTTTTCGTGCTCCTGTTCCTCCCGCTCCTCCTTCTCCTGCTCCTCTTCCTTCTCCTCCTCCTCATTTTCCTCTTCCTCCTCCTCCTCCTCCTCCTCCTCCTCCTCCTCCTCCCCCCCTTCTTGTCCCTGTCGCGAGCCGAGCCCGTGGATTTAACGTCTTGGGGGCATACCACTTTTACCATTATGTTTGGCCGCGATTTCGAGGCCCACCTCAATCTCTTTCGAGCTGCCAAGCTGGCCATCGGTGCCAGCCACTAAGAAGTCGCCAACTGCCCCGGCTGCGTGCTTTCCTCCTCGTTCTCCTTCTCCTCCTCTTCCCGGCGCCCCGTCCTGGCTCATCTTGGCGACGTTTCCCAGCGATATTCGAGTCTAGCGCGGTCACAGGGGATAGTTCGGACACCGTTTTTCCTCTTCCCCTTCCTCCTTCATCGTCCTCCTCTGCTTCCTTCTCGTCGTTCCATTTTTCCTCCTCTTCCTCATCCCCTTTTTTGATATCATTCCTTTTCCCTCCTCCTTCCACCCCTCTCCTTCTCCTCCTCCTTCTCCTCCTCCTCCTCCTCGTCCTCCTCCTCCTCGTCCTCAGTCCTCTCCAGGCATGCGATGTTTTGTTTTCAATGCGCGGTGCCTGGACCCCCTCTCTCGGCCGGTCATTCGTTCTCGTCGCTTTTCGACGGCCCTGGGGAGCGGCGAGGGCCCCATGGAGGCCGAATGCGGCCGAGAAGCCCGCGTCGTGTTCTGTCACGGTGCGAGCATGTGTGGGCGTTTTCTTCGTTTTCTTCCCCCTCCTCTTTTTCGACGTGGATCAAACATGAAGACCTGTGCATGTTGCGTCCTGGCTGGCGTGTGAAAATATGCCTGCAAGCGACGAGTTGCACCGACTTGGACCTCCTCCTTTTGTCCCTCCTCTTCCGCTTCATCTTCCTCCTCCTCCTCCTCCTCCTCCTCCTCCTCTTCCTCCTCCTCCTCCTCCTCCTCGATCCTCCTCCTCCTCCTCCTCGTCCTCCTCGTCCTCCTCCTCTTCCTCCTCCTCCTCCCCCTCCTCCTCTACCTCCTCCTCCTCCTCCTCCTCCTCTTCTCCCTCCTCCTCCTGCCGCCCCCTTCTCGCTGAAAAGGGGCGGGTGGGCCCAGCCGAGCTGAAGAGACGGGGCTGCTTCGAGGAACCCGAGGCTCCGCGCGCCGCCCGCGCCTGCCCCCCTCCCTGCCTTTTGGGGGGGGGCCCGCGGAGGTCCAGGCTTCCAGGGTGGGTCTTCGACGTGCAGTCGAAGCTCACGACAAGGACGCACGGGATGTCCTTGGGGCGCCCGTGCGTCCTTGCCTCGGCGGCCCGTCCTTGGCAGTTTTTCACCCCTCCGGGCCCTTCCGGGTGTGGGCAGTCCGCCGCCCACGAGAAGCCCCAGGCAGGCTCTGGCCCCCGCGCTGCCTTCGGCGGGGGCCTCCGCGGAGGCCCCCGGGCCACCGAGGTGCCCTGACCTGCCAGAGAGTTATTTTTTAGCACTGGAGACCTAAGAACCTAAAAAGCTGAGCGAAGCAGCCTAAAACTAAGACGTAGAATAGCTTTGGGATATGTTCTTAAGTCGGGTGCTATTTTTTAGCCCTCCTGGAAGGTCAGGGTGGGCTCCAAAAGCAGAGAGGGCGTCGTCTGCCCGGCGGCCGCGGCCGTCCGTCATCCCATCTCGGCCCTTCTTTATTCTAGCGGGCCGAACGAAAGGGGGGGATTGGGAAGGGGGGGGGTATGAAATCTGCTGCATGCAGCTGGTTTCGGCCCCACCGAGGGGCCCAATGCCCAATCCTCCACAGCAGCCTCCAGCGCTGGGAGGCGCCAGGAACATCAGCTACATGAGCTAATTCTCCCCCCCTCCCCTTTGCTCCCCCCCTTTCGCCCGGCCCGATTCTAGGCCTCCGAGATGGGGTCCGAGTGGATGGGGTCGGAGGGTCGCGCCGCGTCGCCGATGCATCGACGATGCGGCTCGATGTG